TTTCACGTATCACTTGCATGTTTCCATGCCTGTTGCTCAAGGTTCTAGCAGAGTACGATCTACAGCTGTGCGCCTGTAGTAAAAGAGACTCCTGTGTGCCTGTGTTCCTATACGCTTTAGCGAGGGGATACACGCCCAGGTTACATCTCAGGGGGGGGGGTTCGAACCCAGGTTCAACCCAGGTTGGAACTACAACATTGAGAACCTGGGTTCAACCCGGGTTCAATTTTTTTCCGCGGACTTTTCCCAGGGGGCGAGTCTTGCGCAAGCTGTTTAACAGCTCTCCAAGGAAACTGAGTACAGGCAGTTGCTTACTGGACAGTGCTGCGTTTGTCCTTTCGTTGCGAGCACTTAGCGCGAAGCTTGGCAGTGACTTGACAGCTGGTTAGCGAGAATTGCCCTCCGCACTGCGAGCATTTCCACAGCTGCCCACACAACACCATGCAATGCGTTTCGTGAACGCCGTCAAACGTCGCCTGTCCATCTGCGCCACAGGGTGTCGCAGCTCTGGCTTCCAAGACTTTGCGGTTCTTGGTATGCAAAAGCTTTAGACTGCATCTCTCACAGGACACGTCAAGCCCCTGCCAAATCCAAGAATGTCCACTCGCAACCTGAGGTTTTTGGACTAAAGTGGTGAACCATTCAGCCTGCGATTGTGTATGGCCGTGACCCACATTGGCTCCGACGCGCTTCTTACAAAGTCTGGGCTTGCCACCAATGTCAAGCTTTCTTCCTGTTATCCTTAATGGCCTCAAAGCTTTTGACGCAAGGGTGGGCTTCCTCACCTTGACTGGTTAAGACCTTGGCAGCACGACCACTGAGCAACTCAAGAGTTTGTTGAAATTCCACATCTTCCGCATGCAGAGCCCTAGCATCTTTATGGTTTGCGAGTTTCTTCGCAAAGTCATTGCAAAGCTTATCGGCCTCAGCATTTGTGTCACGACGCCACAACTGGTCAGCGCCGAATTTCTCGACAAACTCACGCTCGCCAAGGTGAGGGTTGATCCATACTGCATGGAGTCGTTGTGGGTCTTGCTGCCTCACTTGCTCCCAAAGGTCAGCATGAAACTTACCCTGACATGCACCACGTAGCCTCTTTTGGACTCCAAGGCAATCCAAAGTGCAATCTACAGGTCCCTCAACATGTTGCAATAAGAGCAAGACAGCAAAGAGCTCGCCACGGAACACGGTTTGCTGCCCAGGAAGTGTTGCGCAAAGAGTTGCAACTTTTACAGGCTGATTTTCTACCCACTTGAAGGCAGCAACACTAACTGCAACCACACGAAGTCTAGCATCTTTAGTGAAAGGCCCTCCGCTGGCGTCAGTGCTGAAAGTGAGACCTCGACCATCAATGGTATGGGCATCCTGCCAGAAACCGGTGCTTTCGCAGAATTCCGGAATCGCAAATGTAGTGGCAATACGCAGGCCCCGAGTCCACGGCAGCTTAGAAGCTAGAGTCGCCTCCGGGGTATACCAACTAGGAGTGTCGAAACCTTTGTCAAGCCACCATTCACAATCAAAAAGGACATGACGCCAAGTAGCCACAACATTGCACTTTGGGCACGTCTTGACGGGACTATTGCCGTCGTGGACAAGGCTGCCCTGCCACAAAGCCTTTAACCGGCCTTTAACCCTCGGTACTTAACGGAGTCTCCTTTGGCCTTAAACCGGGAAAGTAGCTTTCGCCCAACCGACCTATCAATCCCTTTCGCCAGCTCTGGCCAATCAACCTTCCGCGCAATGCGTCTACAGCCCTCAGCTTTCACGTCGTCAATCAAAGCCTGCAGAACAAGCGGTCTATGCTGGGCATCCAAAATATTGTAACTCTGCGCTTGGCCCGGTCGCTTCCAAACGAAGGCCTCCTGCACATTCCATTGGACACCTGTCATGTGTCCCACTGTGGCTGCTAAGGGCCCCTTAACATGGTGCCAATTCTGTCGGCCTTCGCTGAAAGATGCCGCCTTGTCTGGACCCCGCCCTGTCGAGGGCCTTGAACCAGGACTGCACTTGCTGTGTAAGCACATCTGCCCATGGGTCACGGACTTGGTGGTTTTGAGCTGCTAGCGCCACCTCGAGGCACCCCAGCTTGTGCAAACCCATTTGTTGACCTACAGTTCGCCTAAGCCACGTCACCCTACTAGGAGGTAAACCTTGCGCCTGGTGGCCCCACATCAGCGAGGAGCATACACCGCCCCTGAACAGGCGGAGGTGCATAAGCCTATCCAGCTTCTGCTTCCCACCCTTACCTTTTTGCCAGCGCTTTCGTGACACTTTGACTCGCCTCACCCTGCCCAAACCACAATCAACCCCCAGATCCCTCACACTTTGAAAGATTTTCGGATCGCAACTGGTCAAAAGCTCCTGCAAAGTTTGCGCGCCCCTCTGGTGCTAGCCAGGAAGCCAGTCTTCTCCTGAGAGTTTGAGGCCGCTGTCTGCAAGGATGCCAACTTGCGGCAACCGGCAAGCGCCTGCTTGGCTACTATTGGCGGGGAGTGAGCTTCGAAATCAGCACCTACATCATCGACCCATGTGTCCAAACCCTTGATTCCATCACAAGAGTACCTCTTGAAGGACTGGCTTGAGGTACACGCGAGCCATAGCCGTTGCAAAAGGGCAACCTAAGATCCCTTTAGCTGGGTACGCGCTCAAGATGTCTTCACTGACAATGTCGCGTGCCACGATAGGCTTGCAATGCTAGGGCTGCCACCCTGGGTGGGAAATTTGCTCCATCAATCTTTGCTCCAAAACCTCCAAGTCGACAAGATCATAGAGGTTTTCAAGATCAAGAAGATCACAAATCATGTGTTTTTCCCCTGCCTGGCTCTATTCCAAGGCGTGCTCGCTTGAGTCTCGCGCAGCCACTGCTGCACCGCAGGTCGTCGGCAAAAGCACCACACTCTGCAGGAGACTGATTTTGAAGTGACGGGCCTCTCAATGTTGGGCTCTTTGGGAATCATACTGACTTGATTCTGTGTCCAGTGAATCGGGACCTGCACTCAGTCTCAGTCCATTAAGTACCGTAGCCAGCTCAAGCTTGCTTCGGTAGGCCCCTCATACCAGCACAAGTGAGGCCATCCAAACCTCCTGCTTTGTCCGCGGCTCTGTGAACAATGAGAGAATCGCGTCTCCTGTGATGGATGGCAAAGTGCTTTCCTGTGCTTTGGCAAGCTGAGCACTAACTCGCGATCAGCCTCTCCTCAGATACCCACCCACTGCTGTCGGCGCAGCCTCGAGCGTTCGGCCGTTCGGCCACCGGTTTCAATGAAAGGCCTCTCGTGCACACAGTCGGCTTTGGACAAAGCACAAAAAAGGAGGCGCATTCCTTTCAATGTGCCCATTTTCATCCACTGCCTGAAATCTTGCAGGTTCTGCCTGCATTGCGCAACTTGTGCCACCTGGACCTCCTCCAAAAGCCTCTGCAGTTCTTCGGAATGTTGGCCGTGGAAAGCATCACAAACTTTAGCACAGTTTTGAAACATGGATTTTAGAGAGAGGCAGACATCCGTGTGGACAGACGTTTGAAGTTGAGACCAGCTGCTTGAGCGATCTTGTGTGGAGGCCAAACAGAGACATGAGCATGCAAATCTTGACAAGTGCCAAGCAAGCTGAAGGGTCCAAAAAGCAGCAAGTCAAGCTGGGCGAGTTTGACACAAGCTCCAGCGGAAAACACTCTTCAAAACGTTTTTTGAAGCATGTTGAGTGGATGTGCAGCGAGACGTAGAGGCCACGCAGCGTGTCTGTGCCCAGCTGGCAAACCGCAGCTTTCCAACCCAAGCTCAAGTGCAGCCACGCATACATGCGCAGCATTACGGTGTTTTGCAAACGTCCTTCAGCACTGACAGTCAAGGTTGTCTGACCTCGCGTTTCCATTGCACAGCTGCCATGGTTGTCTTCTGCTGGGCGCAGGTAGGTTGGCCGGGGTCATGGTTGCATTAGAGGGCGAGGCGACCTCGGTCGGTGTCCAGGAGACACATCTCAGTCATGAGAAACTCCTGGAGGTGCGCGGACTCGCAGTGTGCAGCAGTTCAGCAAGCTTGCAGTTGACCGAGTCGCAGAGGAGTGGCCGCGGTTTCAACGACCCCGGAAATCTTTTGTGCTGTAAGTGATGACCCGGTTTCTCTTGGACTCGCTAGTTGGACAAAGCCATGGAGATGTGCAAAGGTTCAATCCAAGGCCGGCGCCAATCTGTGCGGGCAGTCTGGGGAACTCCAGCCCAAACCAGGGTTTTGGCGCACAGTCGGCACGGGGCAGGATGCGGAAACCTGTGGAAGCAGACCCACGGAAATGCACGCGCGCAAAGTCCATGCAAAATCTTCTGGGCCATGATGCGGCCTGGCGGGTTGCCAAACGCACCAGAGCGCAGACCTTGCGGGTTCTCGATCCGCCGAAATGCCGCAAAATAAGCACGTCTGTAAACAATTTATGGCATGGAATAATCAGGACATGGAAATTCTAGTTCCTCTAGCTTTGAACGAACCTCATCGGAGCAGCGTTCAAACGATTGCGGCGTATA